ACGCACAATATCTTTTTTACTATCTCCTGGTGAATCACCATAAAGTTTCAGGACTTACAATACTAAAATCCAGAGTTAGATTTCCCACATTAGAAAGAGTGCAGATAGTCCCTTGTGAATCTTTACATGAAACAATCGAGCACTTTTTTTTATTTTCACTGTGATGAAATTAAAGTGAATACGTAACACCTTCTATAAAATGAAATGATTCAATTCCATTCTTTTTATTCAACATTAAGTGTGGAAATAAAGAGAGATTCACAAAATAATCTGTTTGGTTCATTTTCACAAGTTTAGAATTAAGATGTTTAAAATTGGATGACATAGTTCATTGAAACTTGATGTATAAGAATCGTTATCACGTTTCTAACAAGGTAAATAAAATCACGGCCTATATCTTCAGAATATATCTTTATTAGCTCAATACTACACTTTCGTCTGGAGCTATCGATATCCTACAAGTTCACTAATCCAGTTGGTTCAGTAGAAATGTCTCGTAATAAACAATAGTTTGCGTTAAACAAAGTTAAGAATCATAATCACGTTTATTATGTATAATTGATTATGGTTAAGATGATGACTGATTGATTCTCCATCGTAAAAAAAAACGCTTTGGAAATATTAACTCTTAAAGTAAAGATTGAAGCTTTACTCGAGTATCGGACCAAAATAAATTTACAAGATTAGGCTAGGAAATATTGCGCCATAAATTTTATTTTATTTTTCTGAAAACAGTGAAAGTTAGAATGCCGTCGAAAATATTGAAAGAACCTTACCAAGAAGAAAAATATAGTTGCGAAATACAGAAACATAAGGAAGTGCAGTTTCAAGAACAGTTAGAAGACAATCGTAAAAATCCATATAAAGAAAGAAACTTCAGCTCTATTTTGAATAATTACTTAAATTTGATTCACAAAAAATTTCTTCTCAAATCGCCCAAACAGGTTAATTGGCCAATCAGGGTGTGAGGGGCTGTTTTCTAGATCGTTTTTAAAAACCAAGAAATGCTGAAAAATATAAAGAAAATAGAAGTTACAACACAACCGTTTTAAGAAGCCACCAAGCTCACGAGGAAATCGTGGTATGGTGGTAACATATTGAACTGGAGATTCGAGAGTGACGGGTTAGAGACGTATGCTACCAAGCATGTTTCGCATTTTCAGCTGAGGGTGCATTATAAGAGTGATATTCAACCCCATTATTTGGTTAATAGCAACCACTTTATATAACGGATGTGATGAACTGGTTTTTTTTTATCCTCTGTTCTGCAGCTCAAAATTAGAAACGACTGTGCCTGAACCATAGATGATTACGTGTATAATTTGTCGTTCAAGTAAACACACGATAATTCACCAAATTTTACAGTGAGCGTTACGAACTAACTTTACTTACATCATAGCTAAAGTAAAAAGTAATTGCATGTAATAGAAATTATTTTTCATCTAAAAGAACAAATTCATATTTCTACAATTGAGGTGTTTTTTTTCATTTTAGTTATTTCCGTATGTAGATGTTTTTGTATGTCGACAAGATGGTATATTTCAAATTTTTTGTTGTATAAAATTTACCTTTTAAGAATTTTAAAAAATACGTTTATTGGAGATTTTTCACTCTATTTTTATATAAATAATATTTTAAACTGATTTTCAATATAATTTCTAGTCGAGTTTAAAAATAAGTCGATTGTTTTATATATGTATGCATATATCTACGTATGCATATAGACCAGCTTTAGTGGCTCAGCGGCAAGCTTCATAGCTTGCACACTAAAAACAAGAATTCACTGTTGCCATCTAGTAGCAAATATAGCAAAGATTACAAAATCACATAGATTAATTTCGTAGACAATTATATCATATTTTAAGAATTAGTCAGTAAAATACACCTGCATTTACCTATGTAATCAACAAACCCATAAATTTCAAAACAAGTGTTCCATGACAGCTTAAAGTGTGCCAGTAATTATTATTATTTGAGACTTAACTAAAGCAAACGTCAAAAAATGTTTTAAAAATCTCAACTGTCTTCTTTATTAATATTTTCATACTTTTCACAAAAACAAGAAACCAAATGACTTCTAATACTGACGAATGTCAAATCAATCGATCATGGTTTTAAATATTTAAGTTTCTGTTTAATTTTATATTATACTATTGTTTATTTGTTATTAAGCACAATACACTGCACAATTAACTATAAATGTTTTGTCCAACACCACGGTTATCGAAACCCAATGTTTAGCATTATAAGCCCTCAGACTTACCGTCAAGCCACCGGGAGACTAATCACACCACGGTTTGTATATGAATTGGTCAAAACATATTAGATTTTCTACTTCAATGAAAAATAGAGCTTTTTATTGTTTTTATTTCAGAATTGATTGATTTAATAATTTATATTCATTAAAGCATTAAAATGCACCATAATCAAGTCACAAAATGCGTATAAGTACACTGAGTGGTTACAAGTAAAGAGACACCTAATTTTTCGTCATTTAAC